TTTGTTTTTCTGCTGTAACATAATGCCATTGTTTCTTACAGTCAGTCATGCACCAGGTACACCCATCAAAGGTGTCTGAATTATGTATGCACGTGATCTATGTCACAAGAATTTTTGACCATGTTAAAGTGAGACTGGGAGTTTATGTTCAAACAAACCTGCAGAGGCTTCACATGGATTTGTAGCTAAATTCTTATTTACAGAATTAGTGTTGATGCACTTTGGGATTTTGGCATTTGAAGTTTGCAAAGGTCCTTATAAATCCATGCCACATTTTTTGACCTTATAAGTATATGTTTTGGGATGGGAGGTGTTTTGGGAACAAAGTATTAAAAAGCTATGTCTTTTAACTAGAGCCCCATTATGGTGCTTTAAGTTATTGCCTTGAAGTACACATGATAGTTGACGAGTACTATGAGAGTCATAGGTGTGGGGTACCAAATCCAAGAGACTGTAAAAGGCATTTGCTGTTAAAATGATCTGACATGTGATGTTTAATTTTCCCCCACATGCATTCAGGCATTATCAAGGCCAAACATTCCTGTCTGTATGTTTTCATTGCAAACACTTGGCAGATTCCACTGCCCAAGGTGACTTAAATGCTCTCTGAAAAAGACGCACAGATTCCATTGAGTGACTCTGGATCTGAAAACATGGACTAATGGGGAAAAATGGGATTTGGTTAGCCACAAACCTTCTGGAACCTGTGGTGCATGGGGCGGTCACAGACATGAGAAGCAAAACAATGCATTACCCCTCACGTCCTAAATGTAGTGAACCAGAATATCAGAATACAACAAACAAGCTTTTTAGTCCTCCACGGAAAAGTTTGCTGGCTATAACTGACGGACCATAATGATAAAAAGATTGTGAGGTAGAACACAAGGGTGGACTTTGGTGTTTGGTGTTGGTTGCCAGCCTGTGATGAGCTAAACTGAGTTATACGCAATTTTCTCTTTGCCTGAAATTCAGTCAATCAGCCAAGACATGTTTGGTGGTTGAGGTTTCCTTTTTCACACAGTAAACAGTGGAACAGTTAGCATTGTGCAAAAAGTATTGTGTCAAACAGTGTTGAGTTATGCAGTCTCAAGTAGGGCTGGCAATGTGACTAGTATTGTTATTGTGATAAATTACATCACAATATATCACAGTACTCTGTTCTGAGCACATCATGAATATCATCAGCATGTAAACACTTCCTAACTGCTTAATTAATCATAAAGACAGCACAGTTAGTCCTATTTAATTAGATTTACTGCAGCGCAGTATGTGAAATGTTAAATACAAATCATATTTTGGATATTTTGGTAATTCTTTGTTTCTTTTTTTTCGTGGCACTACTTTGTCTGTTCCAATCCATCACATGTCAAACAAAAAAAATTGGTGACATATGTATGTGCAAACTTCTTAAAGTATTGTGATATTATACTTTAGCTATAACGTCCAGCTCAATAGCCTTTTATTTGTGGTTTATTTGGACACTGTATGACATACTGTTATCTAAAAAATGGACAAAAACTTTGCTTAGCTAAAATGGTAGTTCCTTCGTTCTTTAGGCCAGAATTTTGTCTGTATTTTGTCCATTTTTATACATAGCATTACATGTTTTTAATCAATATGTATAAGCTTCTATTACTTGTTAGCTACATTAGCCTCCAGTGCAGAGCTAAAGAAGCAGACTTTATACATCTAATTGACTACATGTAGGTTGGGGGAGGTGGACTGTGTAAATTTGGCAGAACCATCACTCTAAATTACCCTCGCTGAGCTGAGAACGTGCTTGGTGCTGTATCATGCCCAGCTGACAGTATCATATCTTATTGTAAGTACCATTGGCTCCACTTAGTCTCTGTCTGCTCCTCTCTCTGTATGCTGTGCAAAGAAAAGCCAGGCAGCACAGAGTGCCAGAGAGCAAGACTGTCTGTACAAGTCTATTTTGAGCTGTTTACTCTCTGCTAATGTTGCATTTGGTCAATTGTGAAGGCACAGGCAAGTCCTAGCCAAGACGAGTCACGAACTCCTGCTTGTTAACAAAAGCTGAATGAAAGCATAATCATGTCATTCTGTTCAAATCTCTCCCGTATAAACATGGCTTTGCTGATGCTGTGGTGATGACTGTTTACCAGAGACAGATAAAGAACCTTTATTTCCCCTGAGTTTGATTATACCTTCAACTCGTGTATCAAGTTAGTTCATAAACGAGACAAGGAAGATGGTTTAGTGAAACCTGAGTTGTGGTGTCTAGTTAGTTTCTTTCCTTATGGAATTATTTTGAGTTCTTAAAATAATCATTCACTGCTTATGTTGTTGTTGAATATAAAAGTTTAGCCAGCAATTAGCATTATGTAATAACATCATGCTGATCGGTGACTACTAGATTTCATTCCTTGATGGCAACATTGGCGTGTATGGTTGAGCTGTTCCTTTAAGCTTAGCAAAGATATTGACCTCCTCTTGCGTCCACCCACATGAGGCTGAGTTTGTTCACAAACAGTTCAATGATGACACAGTCATGCCGCTCCGTCTGGTGTTTTTGTTAATCCAGTTGAAGCTTTCTTTGGGGTCAGCTTTTTCTGTGACCCTTTTGGCTGATTCCACTCCCTTACTTTTGCGTCAGCCAGTCATGTTCAAACAGTGAGCTAGTCTCTTGCCTTGGCATAAAGACTGCAACTTTACAAGTTAAGGCGACCTGTTCAGGAAACCTCGACTAGGAGTAAACAGGTGAGGACAAATGTCAGCTGCATTTGGATTGAATTTGGCCAGAAAACAAATATTTGCTTCTGCTTTTTTTATTTGTGTACCTTTCCTATATTTCCTAGCATGTTTCTGAATCCAGAAAACCGAGGTAGCTAGCAGTTAAAATTTAACCAGCCTGACAGATGTTGTTCATATTGTTCCTTAAGGTTCTGCTAGTGATCATTCTTTCTACACTCAGGGGATAAGTTTGTTCTGACATAATGGCTGTCATGTAACTGTTTGCATCTGGGTGTCCCAGAAGGAAGACTAAGACACGTTTCTCTGTCTGTCAGTGGCTACTGGCTTGTGTAATTCTAGAACGGACACAGCGACCGTGGATTTATTCTTGTCTTGCCCACTCCTTTCATTGGCTTCCTCTGTGGTGCTCCCTCTGTGTCGCAGGTTTACGACCTCCTGGGTTTGCACACAGTGAGGTCAGAGCTCAGCTGCCCGGGGGCTTCGGCTTCCTCGTACCAGACTGCCCCATGTCACTCTCCGTGACATGTCTCTGTGTTGTCATTGTAATCACTCAAAAAAGCTTACAAGCTAATGGTTGTTGCTCTACATATACTGTAAATTGACTTTTGTTCTAGAGGTTGAATAGGCATTTCTCAGAGTGAATTTCAGAATATGCTCATTCAGAGCAATTGAAAAGATTGTGTTAACAACAAATAAATGAATTCACTTGACTGCATGTAGATTTTTATTTGACATTGTTTTTAAGTTTTTGGTACAGTTGATGAGAACACACTTTGTTATGTATGAATACGGTTCCGTACTTAGTTTAGATATTCATTTATTTTTATCTGACCTATTTAGTCTACAGTTAGTGTGGTACAGAACCAAGGCTGAAATAATGTGTTGAAGAAAAGTTTTTTTCTGTTTGAGTTATTAAGGATTTTAAAAAAACCTTTCAAGAGAAGCAGAGGCTGAAGAAGCAGTGAGAGTTGCATGTGATTGGTGGAGGTGGTCAGCCTATGACGAACTGAGTTGAGCTTGGCTAAGTTTACACCAATAGTGGAATTTTTCCCCTTATGGAGTGAAGGTTGAGAAAGTGCTCGCTGTGCGAGGAAGCCTGCAGGCAGCTTGTTCTGGTTATTACCGTCTGTTACAGCCTGCAAGAGAGTGAGGGTCTGCAATAGGACTACTGTTTCACTCACGGTAAGTGGAACTCAAACAAGAAGGATTAGATAACCAAAAGACTTGGCTTCCTCAAATTCTTTCTCGGTTTGAAAGTAATTAGGGCAGTAGCGAGTTTTCTCTGAAGGGTCAGAAACCTGAGGGAAACTTTTAAGACGTTTTGACCTTCTTAAGCAGCGCATACTGAGAGATCATGTTTTGATGATGTGCAAATCATTTTTAATACACTGTGGAAGGTCTTTAAATGGTCTGGAAAGTAGCTTGAATCCTGGAAGGTTGATCTATAGCTCATGGCAGGAATCTGTCTCTAGTGTGGAATTTGGAATGCGATATAAACGTTGTTGATGGATACTGCTTGGCTCCCAACTGAAGGAAAATTATTTTTGCATTTTTCCCTCTCTGTAAAGGCATGGCTTGTTCGCTGAGTGGTAAAGAATTGAGTGCTTATGCTTCCAGAAGTACTTTACCATGATTGTGAAGCAGAGAAAAATGTTTGTTGTCATTTGCCCCAAAGACCACCCCCTGCTCACCCTCTCCTTGCCAATATTCAGAAAAACATGGTGTTACATTATTATGTAGCTCCATTCAGTTTGCTTAGGTGATATTCGACATATTTAAATTTTCAAAAAAATGCACTCAGAAAGATTTTTGTTTTTTAATGGCGAGGCTGAAAGTTATTTTGTTTCCTCACAGTTGTGATTGATGCCTCTTGTCTTCTTGATGAAATGCTTAACACGTTCGTACCCGCACAGCTAGATTCGTGGTCTGTCGCCACAGACACAATTATGCTTGGCATTTGTTGCAAGTGTTTGCGCACGTGTCGGAGGTTCACTCTTTTTGTTCAATAAAAAGTTAATAGTCACTTTCTGAGAGTGATTAACCATCTGGTTTTTACATTTATGGAAAAGAGCATTAAAAGGATCAGTTACATTTATGGTTTCTTTGAGGAAGACTTCTTAGACTTATAAAATGCTTTTGGCTTATGATTAAAAATTAAAAATAATTTTAAATCCATTAATACTTTTTAAAGAAAAAAAACACAAGTGGCTTGCAAGTAAATTATTTTTATTTTTTATGCCACACTTCTGATTTCTTCTTCTGTCTGCCTCTGTTTTACTTTACAGAAAAAGATGAAGAGGACAAGGACTCTGTGGCCCCCTATTATTTGGAAACCCCGTATGGTTATCAGCTAGACCTGGACTTCCTCAAGTATGTGGATGACATAGAAAGGGGAAACACCATCAAGAAGCTGAATATTCAGAGGAAACCCAAAGTGGCCAGATGTGTACCTCCTCATCAGAGTGGTGGTCATACTGAGTGGACTTCTACCGACTCTTTATCCTCCTCCAACAGTGATGAAAGCAAGCAGTCACCAGTCTATTTTACAACTCGGCACCAGCTAGCCTCCCTGGGCCATACTGCCCAAGTCCATGAGCAACCCCAGGCCTTTGTGAATGTTCTTGAGGCCAAGCAGCAGCAGCTGCTGCCGCCACCCTCACCGCGCCTCCCACGCCATAACCCACAGGTGGAGAAAACACTAATGGAGACTCGGAGGCGGCTGGAACAGGAGCGGCTACTCATGCAGCCACCAGCGAGTGAGCCACCCCGGAGGCGCCTGGCCAGCTTTGGGGGAATGGGCTCCAGCAGCTCCCTGTCATCATATGGTGGCTCGTATGGGCCAAGCCAGATCTCACCTAATTCAAATAGCCTGCAGCATAATGGACACCTGCCCAATGGCGAATACAATATCTATGTAACCTCCTCCATGGGCAGCTCCATACGTCACAGCCCACTTAGCTCGGGTATGACCACACCAGTGACCAACATCAGCCCTTTGCACCTACAGAACATCCGAGACCAGATGGTGATAGCTCTAAAACGACTTAAAGAGCTTGAAGAGCAGGTGAAGACCATCCCAATCCTTCAAGTTAAAATCTCAGTCTTGCAGGAAGAAAAGAGGCAGCTGGTGTCGCAGTTGAAGAACCCAAAACTTGCTGGGCAAGGTCAGCCTGGGAGCTTTCGCAAGCGGTCATATAGTGTAGGCAGTGCCGACCAGTATGAGCCAATGGCCCAGCTTCAGTCAGGCTCTGACTTACACATTGACGAGTCAGAAAACGTGGAACAGAGCTCCCAAAGGCTGCAGGAGTTCCGACAGCTGACGGCTGAGGTGCAAGCTTTGGAGAAGAAGATCCAGGATAGCAGCGAAGAGCCAGAGCGTGGCTTAAACCAAATGCAGCACAGCACAAACCAAAATGCCTTTCAAAAGCAGTGGAGCCGTGAAAGCAAGTCTATTGGTGTTGGTGCAGATGAGAACATGAATGATGTGGTAATCTACAGAAGGTCACCAGGCTGGAGCAAGGATGTCGCTATAGGGACTGAGCATGAGACAAGGAGCACAGGAGTTGGGGTAACTGAGGCCATGCTGGGCATGAGTACTGAGGCTGAGGCTGAAATAGAGTTGCAGCACCAGACCATCGAGGCCCTAAAGGAGAAGATTTACAGACTGGAGGTGCAGCTAAAGGAGACCACACATGAGATGGAGATGGGCAAGCTCAAGCTGGAGCTCCAGGTGGCTGGCTCAAGGAAGAAAGCAGACAAGGGTTCAATGGCAAGGCCTGAGATGTACAGCACTTCAGTGGAGGCCAGGGTCTCCACACGGAGTCAAGGGGTGGGGAACCATGCTGAATTTAGTGACATCAGCACGGGTCACGTTACACAAACACATACAGTAGGTGTCTCCTGTAGACCAGACTCAAGCCATGTTGCTGTGGGTCCAGAGTTGCCCATGGAGAGGTGGGTTGTACAAGAACGTGTAGAGGTGCAAGATCAGTGTGTCGGAAAAGAAGTTATATTGTGCCACCAGAAGGTTGGGGTGGAAGTAAGTACGTGTGAGATGGCAGTCAACACTGAGTTGACAGTGGAAAGTTTAGGACTTTGCAAGACAGAACCTGAACAGGCAAAGGAGTTTAGGTCCCTTGGATGTGGAGATTGCTCAGTGGATGTATTGGTCAGTCCCATTAAGGAGCTTTTGTCCCAGGGCACAACAACTGACATGGTGAGTAAAATAGACTCCGCTGTTATGGTTTTGCCCTCAGTGCATTCTCAGCATACGAACACAGAAGTTATGACTGTAGGTAAGTTTACCAACACTGAGAGTGCCATCCTCGTTGATTCCTGCATCAACACTCAACCAGACTTGAAAGACAAGCAAACCAGCACTGTACCATTGGAGACTCGCACCGTTGCTGTTGGTGAAGGTCTTGTAAAAGACATCCAGGCAACAGTGAAGACTCGATCTATTGCAGTGGGTACCACAGCATCTGAGGACACTACTGAGAAGATGACTTCTTCTAAAACCAAAGAGAGTGGCGTTGGGAATGCTAGAATACATGAGAACTTTTTGGTGGGTCTCAAGACACGAAATATAGCATGTGGCCCCTCTCAACCCCTTAATCAAGTGCAGGATAGGAGTAAGGCAATGAGACAAATGGTAGCACCAGAAGGTGTGCAGTTGCAGGCCAAGGCTGGAAGTGGGGTTAGCTTGGACCACTACATAGAGAGAGTGCAGAAGCTCTTGCAGGAGCAACAGATGTTGCTGGCTGAGAACTACAGCGAGCTGGCAGATGCCTTCGGCCCACCTCAGCAGTCCCAGTTCAGCACGATCAACAGTGAGTTGGTGACCACCCTGTCATCCATCAACTCTGTAATGAAGTATGGCAGCGTCGAGGAGCTCCACAATTTGGACCTCCACAAGCTGCAAACAGACTCTGGCAATGTCAGAAAAGGTGAGCCATGTACCAAAATAATACTTATGCAGCTGTTCCTTATAAATTGTAGTTGTGCTGTTACTGCATGAATGCTGATATTTAATACATGGTACATATATACATACATGGTGTACATATAATTTGTGTGTGTGTGTGTGTGTGTGTGTGTGTATATACACAAAATTACACAGGTGCCTCAACAACCTCCAAAGTTCAGTCTTAGACATTGGTTGCATTTTCTACTTCTTGTGATCTAAGTAATCCCAGACACATTCTGTGATGTTTATATCTGGACTGGGGTGTGACGTTCAGGTCTGGGGTAGCCAGTCCATTGTTCTAAGAACACCAGAATTCTTTGTTTGATGATCTTTTTTTGTCTACTTCCTTTTCTCATTAACAGCTCTGTGACAGCTACACATCCTTTCAGACCCTTAGTGTTGAGTTGTCTTCTCATAGTAGAAAGATGGACAGAAACACCTGTGATTTTTTTGCTGATCTGAAGCAAGAGTGGAGCTTGACTTTCTCATATCTCTCAATGTTAAAAGCTTTAAATGCTGTTTATCTGATGGTGATAGTTTTGGTGGTCTATCAGGTTTTGTCCAGTTGTGCCATTATCTCTACAACTTTTAGTTTTCAGTTTCAAAAACTGTTTTTTTCTTATTTACCTTTGACTTTCTTCTTCCTCGTGCAAGTGGATTATATGTTATCTCCTGAAAAATAAATAACTTGTACTTAAATAAATGAAAGGTGGTCTTTGACCTTTTGCACTGACTACTGCACACATTTTGTTCAGTAAAACTGTCACCTTTTCCAGGTGTTCCTGACAGTTTGTATAAAGAAAATGTGAGTAGCAGTTATGGCTGCTGAAGGTCTTTTGTTCATGTAGATTTTTTAAGTCATTCGCACGTGATATTGTTTTCTGCAAGTTTGTCAGGCTTTAATGTGTTACGTTATTACAAACCAAGAAAGAACACATGCTTGTTCGTTACAAAACATTTTGAAAGCTAGGTGTATACTGCCCAAAACTTTTGATGAGCAGTATATGTGCATGTTTATGCATACGTTTGTGTGTACATGTAGTGAGCCATTCACTGGGCAAACAGATTTAAACTGGTATAAACATGCTTCTTGTTTGTACCTGCATATGAGTGTCATGCACATACGTGCATAAACAAAGAACACTGTTCAAATCCCAGTGCGTTAGCCCAGTGGGTGGCTGTGATCCATGGGCTATTTTTACTCTCTGGACCCCAGTTCCTGCCGAGCATGGTGAGGAGCACACATTGAACGTGGGGTTCACCCTGTGCCTGTGTGTTCACTGACGCTTGATAGGATCTGACAGGCCAAAGTTATCTTCGACCCTGAAAAATGCATGGGGGCTTTGGCTTTAAACCAACAATGAGCTCATCTCTTTTTGGAGGCAGCAGCTTGCACTAAATGGCTAGTTGTTGTTTGTGCTAATGCTGATTCATACCGCTTCAGTATTATGTAACAGACAGTAGCATTGTGAAGAGAGAAGACCAACACATGGAGAGTAGTTGATTTTTTTTCTTTTTTGGATAATTAATAAATTGAGGACATTTGCAAGGAATGATGAGATATTCAGGGTGTCTTGTGATGTTCTGAGGTCAGGCTAATCTCTGATAACAGTTGTTGGAAGAACAAAACGTGCAGTCATCTCAGTTAGAAAATAATGGAATTTAAAAAGTTCCTTTTTTCCTAAGCATGAATAAACTCTCATTAATCCCAGCCATACTCGGTCAATTAGATTTTCATGGATAATTAAGTGTTATCCACTTCAGCACTCTATAATATGAGCCTCAGTATGACACAGTGTCTCATTGTCTATATCACTATAGGGTAATCTAATTTGACTGCTTGTGAAATGGGTTAAATGCTCTAATTGAGGGTCAGCCTTCCCTTGTGGCTCTCACAAACCCCACAGTTAGTCTTTTCTTTAGGTATGGCACTGACATGAAATGTTCCAAAGCTATAAATAGCCACCACTTTTGCTCTTTCACTAAGAAAAAATAAGAGGATTTTACCATGAACATCAAATACTTGTGGTAGATGCTTATTTGAGCTTGCTGCCAAGACTTAAGAGTTTCCATCTTTGCTGCTGACTGATTTGGCCCAGGATTAGTGAAAGGATCTGGTCAGGTATTCTTGACATCAGACACATTCTTTCAGAAATGTTTGCTTTAGCTACTCTTACTTAAAGCAAGCCTTCTTGATAGTAAAGCTAAATAACACATTACCACTGCACTGATCTGATTATTTCATTTAAATGTTAAAATGTGGCAGTTAAAATGTGCTTCTGTTGAATAATGTCAAACTAAAATTTGTTTTCTTTTTATAGCACTTTCCTAATAAAATGTCTTCTGTTTTGGCCATTGTTTTGTGGTCAAAGTTCATGATGGTAATTATTTAAGGGTTTTCATTTAGGCAGAGTTTTGTAATGTTTTCCATAAACTGGTTTTCTGATTTTGGGGATTTTTTTGTGAATTGAATTAAAACATTTGCTTGCTCTGTATATCAATTACATATTGAAATATTGAATATAGCACATATTGAGTAGTTGCATAGCAGACCAAATATCATTTTATGACATGACCCTTTATTGTATAACATTTGTGATCACTTGCATTTACTATATTCCTCCTTTGTTACTGAAAGGAAAGCTCAAGCTTAAGGCAAAGTTATATAGACAGTATTATTTGCAGAGCCCGGATTGTTATTTTTTCTATTGATCATATTATACACAATGAATACTGTCTCTGACAGCTTCTTAGGCTCTTATGTTGCTTAACCAAAAGCAATACCATTCCCTGCGAGTGCCTGCATGTAATTTCAAGAATATTCTTTTTGAAGGCAAGAGCATCACGTTTGTGTTTTTTGTCACTTCAGAATCACTTACTATGAAAACATACATCGAGAGTTTTTATGTTTGTTAGTGTGGGTACATTTCTCAGCTTTATTATGGTGTAGCGTGGCGCTTTTTGCTTTTCTTGAAAAGACAGAGCCGGTTGTACTTGTGTACATTCTTAAAGCTTCTGAATGTTCTTACTGTAGTTCCTTTTGCAAAGGAATGTTTATTATATTGCTGATAGGATACAGCGGTTAACTATGCTCCAGAGGTGGGTAGTATGAAGATATTTATCGTTCTTGTTTGGGTTAATTGTTTTTATTTGAAGGAGTGCTATTTTCAAATTGCACAAGCTGCAATTTGTCAACAAAGTTGCCTTAACAGGTTTTAAGTGGGGACATTTAACCTAATAACATTTAACTTGTGAACTGCCTGTAGATGAGTTAAAAACAAATGGCCATGTGCTGTGTACACAACAGTGCAGCCACAACTAACTGGTGATTTGGTGCACTACGATCAACGTTCAAGCCTCAGTACAAAAAACGTAGATGTACTGGTCTACTTGGCCAAATTATTTGGTCCTAGTTATTATGATAAATTGTCACAATATGCATTTCTTACCATATTTTGGATACCATCACTGCTTAAAAAACACTGGTCAACTACAAGAAATGGATTTGGTGCAGCATGTGAAATGTTGAATAAAGATCATTGTATTTATAGTTTTGATTTTATCAAGTGTGGCTCCACTTTTTATTTTTGGCTATTCCAACTTATCGAACATCCACAAAATGAAATACCTTCATATTGTTGTGTCTTACTCGCCTCTTCTCTGTTTAGATATACAGACTGCAAGCTCCCACCTGGTTAGTACGAGGACCGAGGTCACTCATACTAAGAGCATGCGTGCCGAGGACCCTGCGACCCTCGAGCAGAACATGGCTGCACAGAAGATACGCATGGACGAGCAGATGTCCACTGCTCTACACGGTGAGATCTTTGTACATCCTTGACACTTTTTGAACACAGTGCATCAAAGTAAGCACCAGGTTAAACTATATTAACTCAAGGGATGTCTCTGTCCAATCTAAAAGATTCGTACTGAAACCAATGGAGGCTAGGTGACATAAACAGGCATTATCCACAACTTGTGGCAGTGAAGTGCATTTCAGGAGCTAACAAGCTGTCTAAATGTTTATTTTAAAGTGGAGAATGAAAACAGTCTAACGGTCACTTGAAATATCTGCCGCGCCAGTGTTTTGACTGCGGTAAAGCAGAACTATGTAAAATTGTGGCGATTACACAGTTAGAACGTTCAGAACCGAGAGGAATGTTTCTACAAACTTGAAATACGACAGTAGTGTGTTCAAGACAGCATTAAAAAAACTGGACTAAAAACAATTTCTGTCAGTTCACATATAAAGTGATTTTACTGTGGCAGTAAATGATTTTGTAGAATGTCGTACCTAAATCGGACTGGTTTAACTGACTGTAATATACATGAAGTGCACACTGTGCAGCTATATTACCAAGAAGAGTACAAATACCTGATCAGACTCTGTATCTGCATTTCATGACATAATATTAATGAACTGTAAAGGCAGAAATAATGCTTGATCTTATGGTGCCTAATCAACCCCATACTGCAAATAGTGAGAAATCGATTAATTTTTTTTTGACTCCCAATGGACAATTGTCCAATCAGAATTTCTTTTATAGATAAAGCTAACTTTCTGATTGGTTAGGATCTCAGAAGCTGAACTGAAGTGTCAGATTAAACACTAACATTAGGAACTGAGAGTGCAATCACATTTTGATTTTCAACAGGTGGGATAATTTTTTAAATGAATGTTAGCTTAGCGCTAACATACTACTTGTATCCCATAGAGGTGCTAGCAGGAATTAGATTATTTAGGTGTCCTTTTTCCCTTGTTTGACCAAGATTTTGCATTTATGGCCCAAATAAAAACCCCACTGACTATTATTGACACTACAGATCAACTATTGGTTTTGCTTCTGTTATCAGAATGACTGTTCGAGAGAGGCCTGAGTAACTGAGCCCTTGTGTGTTTTTGTTTGAGGAATGAGCAACAGATTAGCACTGCAGGCCACAGAGCTCTGTTCTCACCTGTCAAAATAAAGGAAACGTGGATAATGACTGCTTTTGCCATATATGTATGCAGACAGAAGAGGAGAGAGGCAGGCTACATGTGTAAGGCATGTTCTGGCAGTTCACAGAAGTGTTCTTTTTTCGTTCTGTGTGGAGAGAGGCGGAGGTCCTCTTTGGTATTTGGCAGCACAGAGCCTGTAGTTAAAATGTTTGGGATAACTTTGGGTTTGGTACAAGTTTCTATGCCTTGCAGAATCAGTCTTTTTTGAAACTCTTGCGTTTGATCCTTCATAAGATTTGTGTTTTTTATTTCTTAAAAACGTCATTATTGTTGGATAATTCCTTTACAAATGTTTTTCAATTCAGGAATCTGGTGTTTACTCTTTGGCCTGTCATCAGATGTTTTGATTAAAAGGAATGTTTTATTTTATTACATTTTTTTGATGTTTTGTGAAGAATGTAAGCTTCCCAAGGCACTATGTCAAATAAGAAAGCAACTAGGCAAAGTACAGCTTATGGTCTTGATTAGTGGTTATTGGCCAGTGGAAATGTTGAGGAAGCTTGCTCATTTCCTAGCAATGCCAGTAAAATGTGTATGGTTCACTTTGCATGCCAAGCAAGATTGTCAAGTGTTGACAGCTGGTTCCTATCAGATCCTGGTATCAGATTATTGGTGTGTTTCTGTGCAGTTCAGCAGTAGCTGCATGTTTGTGTGCTCCACCTGGTGGCTTAGTGAATACTTGGTTCAGAGTCAAGCAGATATAAGGTAGCTGATTTTGCGAATCACAAAAAAAAAAGTATCTCATTTTTATTCCGAGTTTTGGTTTTCTACATTATTTGAACACAGCAACTGTCCTTTACATTGTGTGAAAATTTCATGATTAATGGACCAATAAAAATGCTTCAAAATTGCTTGTAATAAAATGTCTTTACATTAACATGCATTAAAAGCAAAGAACGTTTTACTTTCTCCTGTAAAGCTGCCGTTTTGGAGATGCTTGTTTTTTGTTGGGCAGTGACGATATGCAGGATGGATCAAGCCTTTTGGTGGCCCTAAGCAGGATTTTTTGGGGCCACCCAAAAATTAAAGGCTAGCTAATGACAGTGATTAGCACAAGCTGTCTAAATTATGTACATTTCTAACTCTAATTTGTGTATTACTGATGATTGGTTGCTCATCTGGGGTTTTCATAAGTTACAATTCACATTACAGATAACCTTTTGAGCATTCTTGATCCGGGAGTCTGTTTCACGACGCAAGGGGTCTGCCTTGCTTACCCAGCTAATTTCAAGCTTATTTGGGTCCAACCCAACAAAGCAAGCTGACTGCAAGTTTACATATTAGAGATGCAGCAATATAGGAACTGTGAGCTGCGGGTAACAGACATTTTTCATGTACGTATCCACCAATGCCGATACATAACTGTTGGCGGCGTTGATGACAGTGACGACAGCATTGCTTTTTTACCGTTATAAATGCTTTACTTTCTAATTTTTAGGTGGTATGATTTCATTTTTCCTTCTTTGGCAACTCCTCCACAAGTTTCACACGATTCACTGTCACAAACGACATGCTTTCACGTGTACACGCACAAGAATTAATCAAAGTCTGACTATCTAAATCTAGATTAACAAAGTTATTAATCTCTGTTGTAAAACAAGTTAACTGTGTCTGTGTTTGTTAGGTTTTGTGAAGCTGAAACTAAACAGAAAACCCATCTAAGCAGAACCTGCTTCATTAAACAGACCCCAGACCGACATCTTTTGTCAAACTACAGGCCAAAACAAATTGCATAACAATAACACCACAAAAAACAAATCATACATTTATTTTTCGTTTTCTGTTCATCTCCTCTTTTTCTTTTCTGTTTTTCAGCTCTAGATATGTGCCTTCTTTTTGAGACATGATTAACCAGTTACTTTTTTTCCCCTCACTCTAGCATCTTAGACAGAATAATGGTAGAGTGACCCAGAAGTTATTAAGAGGCCCTCCTGTAGAAAAGCACAATGCTCTGGTGATGCTGGGCTGATGTGATAAAATATCATTAAGTGATTTTATTTTAACCCTCTACAAATAAGTGTTAAATTTCTCTGTAATTCTAATCCAAGTAGATTTAGTTCAAACTTATACATTTTATAAACATTTATGTATCGGCATTGCCGAAATGACGGTTCCCATATTGGTGCGTCTCTGATTTGTAAACTTGCTGTCATGCAGTTAAACTGGTTGTTTGAATGGCTGAGATTATCTGTTTTACCTCTCATGTAGGTGGTCAGAGCGCCCTGAAATCCATTATGAAGAAGAAAGATGGCCGCCAGGGGACCAACGGCACCAAAAAGAACCTGCAGTTTGTTGGCGTAAATGGAGGGTAGGTTCTTGAAATTTCGAAATATCTCAAAACTTTGCACAAAACTTTAGCCCAGTTTGTGCTGGATTAGTTTACCTGGTGAGGTACAGAATATGAATTATATCAACAATGATAATTTGTAATTTTCCTCCTCTGCAATATCAGTTGTTTTTATGAGCAACCACTCACAACTACTGACCACCTGTAATTGGCTGAACGTGGAGCCTCGGTCATGCTTGAACTGATCACACAGTAGTGTAACATTAAAACCTGCTAAAAGACAGCCTGCTAATAGGTGCCCCATGCCAAAATGAGGTGAGGAGTGTGCTCCCTCATCCAGTGTCGTAATTTCATTTGCGCTAATGCTTGTGTGCATAGAGTTATAGTAGATTGTGCTCAGCGCTTATAACAGTCACCTAACGCTCACATGAACATCCAAGCTATGACTTTTCAGTCAGGGTTGCCTGTGGTACCTTGGGGAAATTACACAGATACTTTTTCTTGTAAGAATCAGCCAAACAATGCTTTAGAAATCAAGCTCAATCTAGAGAATGATCAGAATCAGTCAAGGTTGGAAAATATTTTGTTCTAAACATGCAGTTGACAATCTGCCAAGTTATTGATTTTTTTTTTTGGAGCTGTGTTGCATTTATATGATGTAAATAATATAAGACAGGTAAGTGCACACTCTATTTGAGTGCTGCTACAATTGTACCACAGTATTGTAGCATAATTATGCATGACTCATTGTGCTAAATAGCCAGCTACCTCTTACTTTTAATGTAGCACTTTCTTTGATTTATGTTATTTAAATAGGCAACTGATTGAATTTCAAATGCCAGTTTGACCGTTTAAAGAATAAATGTTGTTTATGTGGTGACTTTGGCTAATAGAAAATACTTAAAATGTTCTAATGTGTTTCCTGCATTCTTTTAGTCCACCCAGCGTGCCAGTTTGCTTGTAAACATTCTCCATAACCTTCACTGTTCATGTGAACCTATTCCTCCAGGTATGAGACAACGTCAAGTGATGACTCCAGCTCTGAGGAGAGCAGTTCTTCAGGCTCGGAGGAGGAGGAAGAAGAGAAGGAAAGAGTGGGGAGTGTAAAGGAGAAGATAAAGGAGGAGTTCAGTAATGAGGGAGCAGTGGATGTGGAGAGGGATGTGGAAGATTTGGGTCAGGACAAGCAGGAGACCAGAGAGAGGTATGTTAGTATGTGAAGTTTCTGTTGGATCCAGTGTTGTTGAGACAGTTCTACTTAGCTCTTTGCTCACTTTGAGTGTGAGTCTGTGTGAATGTTTACAGGAATGGATGTCTGCGTGTCTGTGTGACAGACTGTATGTGTGGAAGACCTCGGGAATAGATTTCTGCGTGACTCCATACGTGAAATATTACTGTTGTGAGCTACTGTACAGCTGAAGGCAAATTCCTTGTGCATTCCAAAAACAGTTCTTTAGAGCAACGCTGTGGTTCCCTAAAAAATGGATGTTTTTTTGAAGATCCTTTTAATGCTTCTTTATTCTTGTAAATGAAAAGTGTGTGAAGCTTTTTAAAATTTTGATAACCTTCACTTGATGTAAAGGTTCTATACTGGGGCTTTAATCACCTTTGCGTTATTTGCTTAAATTTGACCTTAAAGATTTTTTTCCATTTTAAAAAGCAGTGCATTTTAATGTATTTTAAAATTCCAGAGTCTGATCCACCCGCACCAGCGCAACACATACTAACACACCAACACCACATGAGTGTCTCTGCAGTGCTGATAATTATCCACGATCCAAATAATCCCTGCTCTCTTGTGGTCCTGTAGGGATCCTGATCATTGAAGAACAGGATAAAAGGGGGCTAAGAAAGTGTGCAGAGAAACAGATAGACTACAGTCTGTAATTGCATAACTACAAAGTGCAATAGTAGAATGTATTTATTCCTTTCGGCAACTTTCATTAACATTATTTTCATCATGTGAACAATGGGTGTAATAGCTGGAAAATGCTTTTATTTTAGCAAGAGAGCCATCAATGAAACTTACTGTTTCAAAGCTTAATTTGAACTAGAGGGTTACAGTCGCAGGTTCGTAGCAACAGTATGCGATCAGCTGGGCTTCATGGTGGAACTACGCGTGCTTCAAGGGGTCAAACAAGTGAAATGCATTAATAGTATTTAAAAACATTAGTGAGGTTAATCATTTAGCATGTAACTTTGATACCACCGTTCTATACCAGTTACAGTTTTTTTTCTTTAAATTTGACTTGCAAAGCCAGTTTTTAGTTCCCATTTATGTTAGTCATTATAAACTCTGAGGTACAAAACTGTTCTACATGAACACTGAATTAGGCACTAGGGATGCTGACAGTTGATGTGGTGAACTTTTGATTTGTTGATCAATTGAATCAGTGATGCATACAGATATATTCCATTTTATGCTTTAAATTGTAGTGCACTAGATGGACTAATCTTTGGAGATGTCCATGACATATCTATGATGCTTTCTTTGTACCTTCTAGATATGAGTTAAGTGAGAAGATGCTGTCTGCATGCAATGTTCTCAAGGCCCACCTGAGTGACCCCAAGGCTTTATCCAGCAAAGATGTGGTGAGCAAACCTTTCACCTGCTTATCCAGATAAATAAAACGGATGATCATCCCCTGATCTACAGTAATCCCCTTTCTCTGAGCCCAGTCCACAACTGGCCCTTTCTGTCTTAAACATCTCACTGCCCTGCAAAACCTTCTCCTTTTCTAAACATGTCAGCTTTATTCACCACCATCAGCATTCTTGATGAACAAATGAGGGCTTCATATCAAATTAGAGTTTTGGATAGTTCTTTGTGCAGTGCTTCACTATGCCTGAGGCATGAAAGGGGGTATTTGCTCCTTTGTGGCTAATGCAGTGTAAAAGAATGCTGCAGTAACAGCGAGCAGGACCGACCTGAAAGCCCAAGCTTTGAGCCAGATCCAGCTGTGCGCTGGCAGGGTTACGGAGTCCAGCCTGAACCCAAAGCCGTGGCTGGCTGATGTTGTAGCCAAATAGGAACTTTAATAGACTTACCTAAGACTAATTATGATATTTTAAGTAAGAATTAGACAACTTTGCTGTTTCTTTATACCTGGATAAATTTGTGTAGATGAGAGTTAATGTTTGAAGTAGTTTTACTGTTTAACGTTAAAAAGAATACAAAATTTGTCCTTCGTTACTTTTGGCTTTTCTCCTGAATGACTTAGTTTCTTGATGTACAAATAGACTGGTTGTTTCATAGGCAGACTAGGCTCCATTAGGAAAATGACATAAATGACCAATTCATTACCATCTTGAGGACTAACAGAAATTAAATGTTCACAGAAATAACCAAGCCATACAAATACACATCTGAAAGTGGAGAAAGTATAATTTAAAGAATAATCTATACAAAAGAAATAAAATATTACAAGCAACATGCTGCACACTGACAAAGCAGGTGTCTCACTAGCTCTACTGTGAGTCCTGTGCAGAGATGGTTCATTACAGCACAGGCCTATACAAGTTTATGGGCAAATTCTGTAAGTGGGACAGTAACGGTCAGTTTATTTGCAGCAGTATGTTCAGTTGCTGGCTGTTACACTTTTAAAATGGTTCCAAAATGGTTCTAGGGAGATTCAGTTCTCATAAAAACCTTTAATTGGCATAGAACCTTTACATTACATGGACATTCTTTAAACTTAAAGCTTCAGAAAAAAGCTTCTATATACTTGCACATTTACAGAAATGGTCGTGGTTCTCAACACAGTCCTCAGGGCCCCCTGGCCAGTCCATGTTTTTGCTCTACCCTGGCTCCCCTCACCTAAAGCAGGTATTCTGTGTTTTTTAATATCTTCAGGTGTGTTGGTAGTTGGGAACCATCTGAACCACTGAAATGTCCTGCTATGACATCGCTCCTCTTTTTGTCACCTTCATTTTTAAGGGGGGCTACATATTTTGTTTTCTGTATGGCCACATATTTGTTTTCTGGATGATGGAAGCAGCGTGAAAACTGAAAGGAGTGTAGTGAGTGAGCAGATATTAATCAGTTCTGCTCATGCCTTTTCACAAGTGTGGGGTTACCGAAAGTGTCAAGAGCATGCTGGTAGATGCTCCAAAAACGATGCGGCATGCCCTCATTTGTTCATCTCTGTTTGCCCTCTATTGGGACAGCATGTCTTTCAGATGAGGAAGAGAGTTTGGATGGGTACACACAGAGATAACAATATTTATAATTTCACTTAAGCACCATTCAAGGTACCCAAGGACACTGTACAAAGAAGATCAAGGAAAACCACTTAAGTACATTTTAAAATGTCAGAAAGAAAAAGTAACAGCAATTGAAATACACCAGTATAAACACAAAGGTATTATAGACTAAACCAATACTCAGTTGAAAGACAGTCAATGAATGTTGAAAAAGTAAAATCATCCTAGCATAAATAACCTTAGTAGGGGGGGGGGAAAAACAACATTTGTCTCTCTTCTTAGCACATCCAGCACAAGAATCCTCAGAGGTGTATAAATCCATAAAAATGTTCTCAAAGTCAGCCTGAAAGCAGAATTGCCTGTTTTACATTGTTACTTCATGTCCATCGTCATATTAAACACAATTGATCATACTGTACTACTTAAAAGACAAAATTCTTAAATTCCATTATCTTCAACTGGAACGCCTCCTTGCAAAACATTTTATGAGTTTTGATGACATCACCTTGCAGATGTGGCCGGGGAGGTTAATATTAACTAATAATAACATATTTCATGTATCCCCATGACCCCCATTTATCATTGCGTTAACCGCTAAGTTAGTTTGGAAAGCCACACTGATATTGACTAGGAACTATGCCACAGTACAGCAGAAAAATGTGTTACGATTTCAATTTCATGTCGACTTTACGTAGATGTAAGTGGACAAATGTACTTAGTTAATACCCACCTCTGAGTACAGAGTACTGATCTCCTGTTCATTACTCCACACCAGAATCGAAGATGTTTTTATCTTCTCAATTGAGTATGAAACACTGATGCTCTTGATTCTTTCCTCACAGAGGACGTGCATGAACACGGTGCAACACGAGTGGTTCCGCGTGTCCAGTCAGAAGACGGCGGTGGCAGCCATGGTAGAAGATTACCTGAATGCTTTCCGGAACATCTCGCCTGCCCTGCTGCAGCATGTGGTTAACATGGCTGATGGCAATGGCAACACGGCCCTCCACTACAGTGTCTCCCATTCCAACTTCCACATCGTCAAGAAGCTGCTAGACGCAGGTGAGCAAAGTTACTAATAGCTCATGCCTTATATTCGAAATAGGAATTACTCAACGTGCTTACAGTTTGCTCTGCACTTTACTGCGGTTATAAATCTTGTCGTGCTGTAACTGTTGCTGTTTTTTCAGCTTTTTTAACTCTTTTATTTATTTTTTAACTCTTTTATTTTTTAACTCCTTATTTATTGTGATTTTTTTTTGAATGTCACATTGATTAGTTTGTATAACACATTAGTGGTTGCATTGACTGTTCATTGTCAGCAGTACCTGTCAAAAGTTTGGACACACCTAATGGAAAGTATGTTTTTGTACACTAATCATAAAGTCGAATTCCAACAATTCTGCATAACTAGATTGTTAACATATAAACAAAGTCTTTCAGAGAGGTTTAATGTGAAATGCACCACACTAGACAACATTGCTGAGTCAGAATAGTTCAAAGTGGTAGTGATAGCCATCAGGACAGTTTAATGACTCTAAAAGCTACATTACAAGATAGCCATTAAATTCATTGGTTACCAATACGTTGCTTGATGTCTGAGATGTTGTTTTATGATAGTTTTTAGAAAGTTTGGAGGAAAAAAAAACATTTTTGGTAAAGAGATACATGCAGGCCTTTGTAAGATAAAAACTTTTTCACTGGTTGTTTTTCTTTTCACTGGTTGTTTTGAATGGTAATTAAAATGACTATATTTGTGCTGGATATATATCACCGTTGTAAAGAAATCTGAGTTTTCTCTACAATTAACCATTTCACTTCAATCCACTTGTCTTAGAAACACATTTCAAGTACAAGCTTTTAGATAAAGCTTTATCCATCAATTTTTCTACATTTTCTCATAATTTATTGGATGAGACGTGAACAAAGTGAAGTTGATACCTATTTTAAAATTTGTTAAGGAAAAAAAAAAATTCCAAGATTGTGCAAAAGCATTTGTATTTTAGCAATGCCCATTGCACGAAATTAAAGAAATGTATATTGAAAAATGCTCTCTGCTTCCCCCATGTGACAAGTGGAAAGAAAGCCCTTGAATGTGAATAGGTGTGTCCAGACTTTTGACTGGTGCTGTATGATTTCACTGTGCAGACAGTGCTGACTTTGTTGTCTGCCTAACTAAAAAACTTGATGATGCACTAATTGCCCATCCTCCACTTCCTCCATCCTCCACCTTCCATAAGAAACCCCTCTCCACATTACTTCAGTTCTTTGCAGCTTCTGTGAATGGCCTCTGATGCTGTGCATGATGAGGTGCCGGCACTTCTCTCTCAGAAAAGCCTGTTGTCAGCTCCTCTTTGTCGCCCCACTCTTGACACCCTGTGTTTCGAAAGAGGCCCCCATTGTCTCCATTGTCCGCTCTCATTCTCCAAGCTAGGCCCCACGGCCAGTCAATAAAAACTGCTTTAGCCCTACTCTTCCTCCTCATCTGAAAGCTGTGCTGTCTCAATAGCTTGCATGTAGAGTGTCTCCCCTTCTTGAAGACTAACAAAGGAAGTCCTTCCTCCAGGAGCACTGACTTGAAGGGTGGGCTGTGGACCCTCTCTGATGTTCCGGTTCTCTCTCTTTTGTCACAGACGTCTGCAACGTCAATCAGCAGAACAAGGCAGGCTACACTCCCATCATGCTAGCCGCGTTAGCTGCTGTTGAGGCTCCTAAAGACATGAGGGTGGTGGAGGAGCTGTTCAGCAAAGGGGACGTCAACGCAAAAGCAAGCCAGGTCACTGTGACCCCAGAATGACCTTTGAATTTTGAACACGAAGAGTGTTTAGCGTTAACTAGTAAATGAAAAAGATAACCACAAATCAAATTTCCTTGATTTTCTGCAGATGTATATAATAGGTGATGGACAGTTTGAGTTCACTGGTAGTTTTGCTTTAAGGCTAGCATTGTTAGCATGCTTTGAATGTCTTTTGAAAATGCAATTACTAAATAATGTGTGCTGAAGTACAAGCAGGTTTCACTTCTTGTTAGCTTTTGCTGTTTTGATTTGTATAAAATTACAGCAGTGTAAACTACACATAGAGAAAAACAGCTGAAGAATTTGACTAATATTTAAAAAATTCCACATAACTAAATTTTAAGATGTAAATAAAGTCACTCAGAGTAGTTTGATATTTGACATGCTCTGTTTTAGAGAAATTCAAAATTGTTCACAGTGGTGGTGACAGGAACCAGGCATCAGAAGGGTTTAATGCCTCTAAGAGCTCACAGAAAGTAATTATATGAAATGGCTGCAGATTCATTGCCTGAATCATGAAACATTTTGTTGAGGAATTTTTGGCCCAAAACGTATTGTATAAACTACATGCAGGGTGAAGAATTACATGCAGAATTCTTTTTTTTTTTTAGATTTATTTTTTAGACTTTACCATCATCAAGAATACATAAAAAAGTAATGTGTAGGAACTGGTCAGTTTGGATAGTAAATAAAATGGCTACATTTGTGTTGTTAACTGCGCAATCCATGGTTTCTGACACCATCACTGTGAAGAATTGTGACTCTTGAAGTTTCTCTACAATCCATCATTTCACATCAAACTTCTCTCAATGACTTTTCAATGAGTGAATTCTTCAGAAATTTGTGGAATTTCCCTTAAACTTGTCTACTTATGTAGATAGTTTTGGGTATTTGCTTTCTGATTCGCTTGTGACTGTATTTTTTAGCACTGAGTATCAGATTGGTCCAGATACATAAATGGCTCTGATGTATGTAGCTACTGATATTTTTGAGCCATTTCAAAAAATGAAATGGCTGAAAAACATACTTTAGAGCTGTTTGCTTGTAAAGTCTTCAGCATGGTATGTCCAGCTGAAAGTCTGAAACTTGTTATTGGTCTTGTTGCTCTGCCCTTCCTAACTCTGTCCCTGGCCCCTCTGACCTCCAGGCTGGTCAGACAGGGCTGATGCTGGCGGTCAGCCACGGGCGGATGGACATGGTGAAGGCCCTTCTGGCCTGCGGTGCCGATGTAAACATCCAGGACGATGAGGGCTCCACGGCTCTCATGTGCGCCAGCGAGCACGGCCATGTGGAGATTGTCAAACTGCTGCTGGCCCAGCCAGGTTGCGACGCCACACTCAGTGACAATGTGAGTGAACACCAACTCATTTGAAAAGAAACATCTGTGTTTAAAGGACCATATCATGGAAAATTTTTCTAGCCCTTTTTTTCCTAAAACGTACAGTTCACTCCCTAGTCCATGCAGTTCATTTATGAGAACTAAGCTGTAGAGCTAGTTTTAAATTCATTGTAATTGTGATGACACTACCATGAACATATTGTTACTTACCAAAGAAAAGTATCTTCAAAATGGCAACTTTACAGGAGAGGTTAACATAGAGATTTTACTCACTTCTATTTGTCCATTCATCATGAAAATTTCACACAATGTAAATGGTGGCTGCTGTTTTCAAACGATGTGGAAAATTAAAAATTGACAAAAATGGAGACATGTTTTTCTTTGGACAGTGACATTATTTACATACAACCACCCCCTGAACCTAAACAGACACTCTGTAGCTGAGTTATTGCAGGAGAACACATGGAAGGAAAATGAGTAAATGATTAAAAGAAGTGGCATTTTTAAAAGAATGTGTTTTTGTTCTAAGTCCCTGAGGATTTTAACAGTTCTTTCAGAATTTATTGTGGCTTGCAATAAATGAAAGCAAGTTTAGAGTTCAGAAATGCTGGCACTTATTTTATTTTATTTATTTATTTTTGCATGATGCTAACTGACTGCAAAATTAGGCATTTTGGATGATTCATTTGTTTCATTAAATGCATTATATACATGCAGCTGTTGACTGATTGTTTTTGTGGTTTGTGTAGGATGAAAGTACTGCTTTGTCCATTGCTCTGGAAGCTGGACACAAAGACATTGCAGTGTTGCTGTATGCCCATGTCAACTTTTCCAAAGCGCAGTCACCAGTAAGTTACCTCCCCTTCTGCCCTGTAACTTGAGGTTTTTCCATAAAACAGTATCACCCACTGAACATTTGGAATCATTATTTAAAACTTTTGAATTCATGCTTTTTATAATATAAAACTAAAGATGACACAGTACTGCTTTTTCTTTTGCAAGGCCAATGCCAATACGTTTAGTATCGGCCAATACAGGACCGGTGTTTTGTCTTTAAAAAATGATGATCTAATAGTAGGCTAACAAGCTCAAACTACTCAAACACCACACTACCCCACAGGAACAAATACACAGCTAACAATGTCACACAACGAATGTGTGAGCTATTTCAGGGTAGAATTGTTAGAGGATAGCACCAGGTTTCATCCTTCATTCATTCATTCATTCATTCATTCATTCAATCATTCATTCTCAACCTCCAATATCCATTTCAGGATTTTCTGTTGATTTTCTACATAGTATTGGATCAGAAACACCTATATAAACATTCACAGAACCCATAAATAATCATATTATCATAGATCTTCTTGTTCCCAATATACCTATTGAACATCTAGTTTGTACTATTTAAATCTACATTATATATTTATGTATGTATGCATGTATGTATGTATGTGCATTTACAAACATCTCCTCTTGTCAGCCCAGTATTATTTGTAGTTATCATTCAACACCTGGTCATTATGTTAAATCAGGCATGCTAATGATGAAATGTGCCAAATCTGTGTGATGGCTGGGGGCCTCCAGGAGAAATCTGAAACCAGACTTCTTCTTCAAACTGACTCAAAAGACATCAACTTCATTTTTGAGAAAAAGGAATCTGTGTGTGTGTGTGTGTTAATATGACAAGTGATTCCAAACTTTTGAACCTTATTATCCCTTTTGACTCCTTGGTGTTTTAGTATGTCTGTCATCTCCCACAGGGAACCCCTCGGCTTGGCAGGAAGACTTCACCCAGTCCTACCAGGCGGGGCATGTTTGATTAGAGAAGCCGTGCACCTCCCTCACCCTTTCACTGCTGCTATTCCTTATGGTTCATTTGTGCCTAGTGTTTATTTTCTGCGATCCTCCAAACCCCAGCAAAGAACTCAAACAGATGCCTTTTGTATTCAGCACTTTTTCTGACTTCAGTTCAGCATGTCTCTCAAGATTTAAGAGGACTTGTCAGCTAGGAGCGAGTTCCATAATACACTTTTTTGTGCCTGAAATCACCAGCAAGTGCTACATGTAGAGGAAATGTCTGCTACAACAACTTTGGAATTGACATCAACTGGAATTTTTAATGGAGCAAACTTCAATTCAAGTAAAATTAATGTAGATATTGAAGGTTATAATATATATCCATGTTCTCTTTCTTCCACTGTCTAATTTGTATCTACTGGCGCCTTTTGTTTTTAATCATAAATCAATTCTAAGATATGGCCGACGTTGCCTGAACTCAAGCTTTATATTTTAACCCTGTATATACGACTCGGTTTTGCAGCCTAGAGGGTGTAAATCGATTTTCTTCTGTCAGAGTCCTGGTAGACATATGCAATGGATATGAGAGGTTGGATTACAAAATTTTAAACATTACATTATATATCTAGATTGGACACGGTCCTTACTTTTATACATGCCATTTTTATTTAATCACAGTATTTTGGATATTTACTATTACGTCCTAACAGAACACAGAAGTTAAATATTTATCAATTAAAAAGTTTTTATTACAGATAATTGTATTTTCATTATATGTAAATGTTTACAATACATGGACATGTAGATTGGAGTACCCTTCGCCTGGTAAATAAACTTCTATCATAGACTTTACGTGGTACTTTTCTCCGAAAATCATTGTTCAAAATTCCTGACTTTCCCGTTAATAAACTTTACTAAAGTACATGATCTGGTCTCAATCATTTAGCTTTAAAATGTCTCGTTAATCTGTCAAACACTGTTTTCTTCGGTAAAACACAAATCAGCTCAGAAGCTAGTGATGAACCTGTTGGGTTTCCAGAGCAGTGCAATGCCTCCCTCTACTGGATTGGACCTCTAACTGCCACTGTGGGAGAGATAGTGAAGTTCCATTAATCGATATATACTGGCAGTCAAAAAGAGTTCCTCACATGCATGTATATCCTGCACTGATGTTTAGCAAATGTTTTGATGTGTTTATCCTGTCTGTTCACTTTATAGTACAAAAACCCCTACAAATGACAGATATTCCAATAAGACAATGCAAGATGCCACCCAGTTCATTAAGTGAAATTCAAATGCAACCACTGAGATATTGTGGGGCTGCGCTGGGATACATGTAGAGAAGAAAAATCCAGACGAATATGTGGGAAGCAGTTCCTTTAACGTTTACATACTGTTCAGGTCAAATTTGACCCCTTTTTATATTCAAAGGATGTGAAACTGCCTTAAATGTACAGTTTTACGCCTGAAATTGATATCTGTTCTTAAAGGGACCCAAAATAAATACCACTCATTTTTATACGTCGCCACACATCCTTGTACATAAATTTGTTGCAGGTTACTTCTGACCCTGATGTATTAAACGAGATGCAGGCTCTTTAAAGGATATCTTGAAACAGTGCAAGTACAGTAGAGGGTTAGACAATGAATAGTAAGCGTTGAATCATTTTGAAAAACTTTAGGAAAGTATGACAATGCCACGTTTATCAGCATTTTGTTGCTCTTCTATTCTTGAAGACAATACTTTGTTTTTGGCCTGTTATGGCACACTATATTTTAGGTTTTATTTTTATTTTCAATATGTTAAACTCAGCAAATAAATAGAAATTGTGCACAAAAATTTGCAGAAAAAAGTTTTTCCCTGTAGAGGAGGTTAACTTATTTTCTGCAGTTGTACACATAGTGAACCAAATAATAAATGTAAAGATGTCAAGATGTGCTCTATCAGCGACTTTTCACTTGATGATGCAGTTCATACCATTAAGTGCTATTAAATGTTCAGAGGGAAATATCAACATTGTGAACCTTTATGTTCCAGTCTTGTTCTAAATTACAAGGTTAGTGGACTCATTTTTATTATTTTGAAGGGACTCTAGGTTTAGCCTGTCCCAAACACCGTCATACTTTTTTGCCTCACCAAACCAACCAACAAACAATTCTGTTCTGTTTCTGACTTGTTTCTTTAATTACACCATCTGAAACAGCATTTTCTTGCATTTCCTGCCACAAACAAGAATTATACCATATAATTAAATTGTTTTTTTTGTTTTTTTTTCAACAGAAATGGATCATAAAGCAGCTATAAAGTAGTGGGTAGAAACTGCTATCTAAACCCAGTAATATAGTGTTTCATCTGTGCATTGTCTGAGAGAGAAAATAGACTGCTGTAGTTCATGTATATGGAACATAAAGATTAACTTGCCTGTTCTTCATCTTTGTGCTTGTTTTTGAGCCGAGTGTATCAAGGCTAATACAGAGAAACCTCATGTTAAAAGTGTAAAGTACAACTAGATGGCAGGATTTAAAACAGCATTTCTCTGAATTTCATCATGTCTTGCTGTATAAGCCCTAGTATTCCCAGCAACAATTAGCTTACTTTAACTTCACCAAGCAAATAAATTGTTACAAGAATGTTTTCTTGCAAAGCAATTGTTACAGGAATGATAAGGGACTTGTGGACAAGCCATACTAATGCAACAATGTGACAGCTGAACTGCTATTTCGATAAATGGACATGCAAGTATCAGCGAAGGATGATGAACTATTAACCCATTCATGCCGAACAATAAATTAATTTTCTAAGGAAAAATGCTGCAAAATGTAATGTGATGAGTCTAAAGCAGGGGTTTAACAAACTCTGTCACTGGGGCCAAAGGCAATATTTTGGCAAGGGCCAAAAACACAAACCAGTATACAAATAAAAAAGGTAGGGAAGGGTTCAAATTGAGTTTTTTTTGTTTTTTGTTTTTTTTATATATATATATATATATGTATTTTATAACTTTATACTATATTATTTTACCAAAATATTTATGAATACATTTTTAAAGGAAAATAAGAGTTGAAAAAGTCACATATGGTGTAAAATATTTCTTCTTTTATTGGGTGAGAATATACTTAAGCTGAATTTCAATCAACGTCCTCAAGGAACAGCTTTTAGGCATACTAATGTAAAACGTATTCGGGTTAATACATTTTACATTGGTATGCCTTCTAACAATACCCATTTCATACTTTTATTCACAATCAAATTTGGCTTTTCTGTTGTTTTGTTGAACATGAGTAGTCCCATGTGACCAAAAGACCAAATGTATCATGATAAATAAACTTACTTTTTTAGCCACATAGTTTAATTGACATTAACAAAAATATTAAGATTTGTACTCAGCCACACTCAGAGAACATACTATAGCTATTAAAAGAGACTCAAGTCATGGTGCTTTATTCTCCAGCTGTTGTTGGCCACAGCTACACTGTACATAAGCAGTGTTCTCTTTACTAACACCTTGTTCGCTACTCAGCTCACGTCTGGCCCTCTCTCTTTTTCCACTCACACACACACACACACATCTCCCTGGGCGGAAATAGCCACGTCCTTCACAATAAAGGCCTTATCCTGTAAATAATTGCTAAAGAACTAATAAGCTAAAACTAACATGTAAACTTTTCTTGAATAAGTTACATATGATGGTAGAACAAGAAATTAAAAAAATAAAGATGTGGACACTAATGGGTTAACTGCACTGTTTGGATAATGTACCTTTACTGGTAGCAATTGCACAGCTTTGTTAGCCAAGCCTGATGAATGACAGCATCTGAGGTCAGTAGTAGTTCATTGGCATGACTTGTGCACATGCATGGCTCTTTACGTAGATTATGATTTGTAAACAAATACATAGGAATGCAAACTAATCTGATGACATAGACAAATCTGTCTGACTGTTCAAAAATAGAGCTTTTAAAAGAAAATTCACTTCAAGCATCTAACTGGCAGAGGCTCCAAAACCACATACAACTATACCACACATCCTAAATACACTACTAATGCTGGTGTGCAATTTTGACATAATAAACAGTATGACAGTATTTGTGGTTTTGGACACAGCCTTACTGATCGGGCTGTCCGGTTCCAGAAATGTTTGAGTCGACTCGACTCTGAATTCAAGTGACAAGAATCGACAGAGTCGATTCCAAGAGTCGATTATTTCACACAATAACCTTGATTCCAAAAAACAAGACATGGAAAAGACATATGTCAAAAATAAACAGTACAATATCATGTTTGACATTAGCATTGAAATTTGGAGAGCTAATGCTAACTAAATTACCTTAGCTGACTAATGGGGCTGTCTCAGTTGTACCTGATTCTGCACTGTCAGCTGCTTCAGGTAGATGTTTTGGCACTGACATTAGTGTTGCTCATTTGTAAGCTAATTTGTCTCTGTGTGGAATCGAGTGCAAAGCTTTGCAGTCGACTCTCCATTTCCTGGAATGCCTGGAATCGATTCTTTTTTGGTTTCGACTCCCAGACTAACATTTAACAGGATGTAAGCAGAGGAACTAAGAAGTTTTGCATAGAAAATGCAGAAAAAAGAAGAATAGCACTGAATCTATATCATTACATCTGAGGATTTTTTAGGGTCTCACTCTTTTAACCTCTGGTTTAAACATCCAATAAGTATCATCAGATGCAAGCCGTGTAGTTGTATAAAGAGTTTATTTGGTGTTTTATCTTGAAAAAAAGATATGTTTAAATGCCATGTTCAAATCAACTGTATTTGCAAGAGAATGCAAAATCATTGCGTGGGAAAATTATTGAGGTAATACAACGCCATTACCTTTCTTTCTACCAAGGCCCTTTATGGGCTTCGTGGAACATCAGACTGTAAGTTAACTGAAGAATATGAACATAACATTATTTCAAGAATAATATCTTGGGTGGCCAGGTTGGTAACTTTTGTAAAAGCTTTACAAAGCATAAAAATGCTACCATTTGGTGCTCCTTTACAGAGGCATCTCTGCATTAGCCTCATGCTAAACGTTTGGCTTTCTAAACTTTTGCCTTGAAAACAAGCTGACACCGTGTGCTCTTTACAAATGGCCGTTCAGAAACTGAGCCTTTATTCGGATATGTGTCTCTTTTTTTATAAGCTAGCTGTCAACCAATGCCCTGAGTGGGACGGGAGCTGAACTCCCACACGGCGCTTTGGTATGCCGAGGAGGATCGCCCTAAAACAGAGAGAAAAAGGGTGACACCCTGTTAGTCTTCACTGAGCTAACAGCACCCACGACATCTTTTTTTTCCACGTATTCTCTCTGTCATGAGCGACGAAGAACGGTCTAAGCAGCAGCTCCTGGATGGCTCGGCATCGCTGTCGCCTTCACCGGGCACCAAGAAGCAGCCCCGCATGCCCAAGTGCTCCCGCTGCAGGAACCACGGATTCGTCTCACCTCTGAAGGGCCACAAGCGCTTCTGCAACTGGAGGGACTGTCAGTGCCAGAAGTGCAAACTGATAGCGGAGCGCCAGCGGGTGATGGCGGCTCAGGTTAGCTTAGTTCAGTTTAACTTAGCTTAGCTAGCTGCAGCTCTCTGAGGGCCGACTGAACTCTCTCTTACAATAGAGCCAAGTTTTGTGTGGCCACAGCACCATTGTGGCTTATTTTATTTTCATTGTCGATTAAAAACATGATGTTTTTGTCCATCAGATGAATGTTTTTGTTGTTTATTTTAGATATCGTTAGCTTAGGTTAAATTGCTAAACGCCACAGCGTATCCTTCAAACGTCGAATACAGTTAAGTTATTCAGATGTGATGCAGTGGAGGCATTTAACTTAACCCTTGCAGAGTTTTTAATAACTCGAATGCTTTGTAACTGTTACATGTTTATTTCATAACAAATTTGATTATTTAGACTGAAAGATACAGTTCGTAGACACAATGTTGAGCAGAAGTAAAACACTGCTCTTTTTGCGCCATAGTTGTCACTAGACCATAGATGAAAACTGAGAACAGCTAAACATATAGCGAAAAACAGCCTTGGCTGTTACATTCAGCCAGTATAACATAAAGTGACTACTTTAGGCGGAGTTAGTAACACTTTCTACACTTGAGTTAAGTTATAATGAAATTTTATAGAGTGAAAATGATATCTGGCACTAAACTCATTCCCAATCATCGGCAGGTCTTGAAATGTTCCTATTGCTTTTCGTTATAGGTTAGCATTATCGTTATATATTCGCTTTTAGTTATATCATTAACTAGTTCAGAGTGGTCAGTGCCGCTTTGTTCCGTCCTGCTGCACTGTTCAGTTATTCATATTAATAACCAGACTAACCCAGCGTACTAAGATGTAGTTTAAATGTACAGCAGAGCTTGTAAGGTTTTGTCTTATCGCTGGTTAAAGTAAGTTTGTGTTGCTGAAGCAGCGCTTGGTTTAGTGCTGTCAGCCCGCTCGCGCAGTCTTGTCATTTCAAATTCAAATTTTAACGGAAAAACTCTGACAGCCGTTACTGCAACAGCTAACGTTACAACTGAGAACATCAGTTATTCTGCTTGTTCTTATAATTATTTTCCTGAGGCATATTAGCTAACCTAGCTAACAGACTTACAAGTGGTTACAGTCTGGAAAAACTACATGCATTGATAAACTATTTTTTATTTTAATTTATTTCATGAAACCCAAAAATGTCAGCCTAGTTCCCTAAGGGTCGAGGTAGTTACATTAGCCAGCCAGGCCAGCAAAGGTTATGCTAGCGTGAACTTTCACACTGAGGTAGGTTAAAATTTAACGTAAGCTGTTATTTTTGTCACTGTAATTTAGTGTTTGAAGCAGAACTGTGAAATGGTGATCTAATCTCATCTAATTCGAAAGAAAAGTCAACGTTAGCTGTAACTTACCTTCACTGGATAATGAAATTCTTGTGTCTATGTCAACTAACAGGTTAGCTAACGTTAGCTAGCTGACGTTCAGGTAAGCAGACGAGAGTTCTTATTCCATATGTGTAAATACATAATCAGTAATGTAACTAACTAGGAATTAGATGTAAAACCTCTTAGTTATCAGCACTGACACAAAGTAATGCCCATACTTGAATTGATTCTAGAAGTTCCCCATACATATATTCCCATATTGATGATTTTGCATTAAATTCTCTGTAAAAACTTACAGATTCTTAATATTATAAAGATTTTTAATCATTATGGCATCATCTACAGCTCTTCATCATTCTGGACAAATCTAACGTTGCATAATTTTTTATAGCTTCCAAAAAATTTGTTGAAATCTGTGAAAGTGTAGAGTAGTATAATAGTAGACTCACTGTCTGTGTTTATTGTGATTCCAAACCTTTGAACACAAGGGTACATGAATTAGTTTTTACAAATAATGCAAAGTGTTTTAAGGGACTATAGTTTTTTTTCTTCAGGTGGCTTTGCGTCGTCAGCAGGCTCAGGAGGAAGAGATGGGCATCTGCACCCCAGTGAACCTGTCTGGTACTGACATTGTGGTGAAAAATGAGCCAGGCAGTGAATATGTGTTTCCTGTGGGAACTAGGTCCCCCTCGTCCACTACGCCTGGTTCTGCCACTTCCCCAACTGCTTCAGGTGAGCTAAAAATATTTTCATATCAGTGTTTCCTAATCCAGATAGCCCGCATGTTTGTTCTGTTCCAGCTGCCAGCACACCAAATATTCAGTTCTTAATTGCTTGGTTCAGGTGTGTTGGAAGCTGGGATACAATGAAAGTGTGGAATTGCTGGGGTCCCTTAAAATGGGAAACACAAGACTCGAATGCATGAGGAAAATACTCATGTGCTTTTTCTGAGTGCATAAGAATTCATGACAAATACTGAATTGTTGCCATGACATTAGTTTGGTCGCAGTATTTTGTTTACTACATTTGTTTGGTGGTCTAAAAGAGATTTCACCATTTAAGTGAAATTGCAGACCTCAGCAGTTCTGTTTATAAATGACTCTGAGATTCATGAAGCTACACTCTCACCCAGTTTTTCTTCACCCTGTATTCCATTGACATCCTCCTTTAACAGAAAAAAGGAATTTTTACAGTTTGTCATCTGACCATAGTCAAAAATGGAGATAATCAGCCTGTTATGACCCTTTTAACTTTCAGTGACTCTTGAGAAAGGGTGGGAGTAGGGGAACTTGTAGGACCATGACCATGGACAGCCTGTACCCATCCATTCGCTCTCCGTTCTAGCGACTCATTCATCCTAGAACACAATACAGCCAGTGAGGTGCACTTTATTTTTAGGAAGGGGGGGTTGCTTTCCGTAACATTCCGTCACTGCTCCTATCTGTAACATTGGTGATTGTGCCCTGCCAAGTTGGGCTATCCTTTTGATGGCTTTGGCCAAAGATGGTGGCTCAAGAAGGGTGGGAAAGAGACAGGCTGTTCTTGCTCTTCTGATAGGACTGAGCTAGGAGTAGAATATCAGCCCGGTCAAGGCTGCCTTACTGGCCTATGGCCTGCACCTTAAGAGATGAAGTTGGTACTTGCTAGTCATCTGTTGACAACATTTAGAGCGAAGATAGCACATTCCAGTCTGTTTGCACAGATGATAAAGAGGGTGGTGGAAAGACAAACAGATTAGCTTTGAGCACACTGGACGTAGTCATGCCTTATGAATTATGCAAAAACAAAACATCTGTATGACCCTATGACAGTGGTTAATGTAGTAGACTGTGTAGATTGTGAGATCCATTAATGGAGGCTTACGGTAAAAGCTATTTCAGAAATAGCTACCATAGGTCACTGGTTCTCAGTTCTGCTACAGCAGAACCCCTCTTCATTTAGGATTTTTTTCTGTGCTTCAACACACATATTTCAACTAATTATAAAGCCCAGATCCTATATTTCTTTATCCACTTTATCCACTTGAGGTCCACTACTGCCATTTGTGTGGGTTCATGTACCAAAAACAATCACAGTTTATTTTTCCAATCTCGCTTTTAATGAAACAGGCTATTTTTGTTACTGTGCTTTTAAAGGTGCCATAGAAAGTATTTATTCAGTATTTAAAATTTTTCACTGATGTCTACATAGAAGGTATGTGTCTTTGGTCGGGGAGAAAATTGCCCAGATCCGGTTTTGAGAGTTGAGAGTTCGGTTCCCTGGGAAAGGTATGACAAATTGCCAACATCACATCCCATTCACAGCCTGAAAACGTACATTTCTGTACGTAGCCTCCATTTTCATTGCTGTTACTCTGTTGTCATTTTCTGCTGAGCTATTGTGGGCTGGTGTATGTACATTTTGGCGACATAAATATTAGTAAGTAAAGACCGTTACGTAACAGTTCAGTATTTTAAAACTGGCCTGTTTACAGCCCTTTTTACAGCAGGTCTGCATTTGTAGGAGGAGACAGCAGAATTTGAGGTTCGCGGTATGTCAGTTCCATGTATCGAACTCTCCTTGTTCAACTATGCCAGTGTAAATACAGTTTTCCATTTTAAGGCACCTTTAAAGGAAACAAATCGGGGCAACATATCACCAGAAAGTTGTGGTATCCACCCCATCATAAGAAAAAAGGAAATGCACAGTCCCTCCTCCTCCCTCTTCTCTCCTCGCTAATTGCTATTGCAAATTGCCAATGTAAGCATTAATAGCTGTTTACTTGCCAGTCTAGACGAAACTTTGCAAGTTCAGCATCAAACTTTATCCTTTTACTCACCAAGAGCTGTCTCTAGCAGTGGAAAGCAACACCAGTATTAACTCTTGTTTTTTCTATTTATGGCACTTCTTTTCTTTGCTGTTGAACGTGGTTTCTTGCCAAGAGCGGGTGGTGGTGGTGGTGATAATGATCTCTTGCCAAGAGATTCAGCCATCGTTGCATTTACTCGATGCTCTATGTTTTTGAGGTACAAAGTGGTATTACAAGACAGGCTGGGGATAGCTGGTTAGCATGTTAACTTCACTAGATCTCTCTGCAACACGATACATTTTTGACATAATGTCAAAACTGTTATTTCTTCATATTCATGTGGATAATTTTAGTTCATTTTGAAATGTTTTAAACTAAAAATGTTACAAATTGCACTTTTAACACTGATATGTGTAAATGAGCTCTGTACTGCTTGTGTGCCCTGTATTGTGCCTCATTTATAAAGACTTCACTGTGAATGGGTGAAACTGAACTGCTCTTGGCTGAATAGGTGTGTATACAGTGGGGTGCAAAAGTCTGAGACTGAGGGTGAGCAACAGGACAAAAATATCATATCAACACTCAAAGAAATTTTCACAAAACACAATACATATCATGATATTTTGACACAGACACAATGCACTAGGAGCTTTGAAACTGCCATCAAAAACAGTGGGCACAATGATTTTTAGTTAATGTTTCATGTGCACTGCATGGACTAACAGGACTAAACAGGGCTAGCTATGCTCTGTATTTGATGAAACATGCCATTGGCCAGTTTTCCTCAAATACAGATAATATGCACAAGATTCTCAGAAAAGCATATTCTCAATCACAATAACAAAATTATCACAATGATGACAATATGTTGTCATATCTCTCTATCTGACACCACATTGAAAATCTGGGATTTTTTTAATTTAACAAAAAGTTTAAGAACTAAAAACAAAGCAAATATGTACTTTGCGAGATATTTGTGTAAAAAGATCAGATTTTTTTAGTCTTTTCTGCTGAAGCATGTGTTCAGATGACTTTCGGATGGATTTGATCTCCTCATCATAGGCTTTTGCACAAACTTTTGGAGTCCATGCCAGCTCAAGTGCATGCAGTCATTAGCGCAAAAATGGGAACAAGAAATTCTGGAATTCATGTTAATTAAAAGATGTTACTTTTCTCTTTAATTTTTATGCTGATAATATAATTTATAATAAAAAAAGCATTGTATTAAATTAGAAATGGATGCAGAATGGAAACATTTTCTCTGGTGATCTCAGACTTTTGCACTCCACTTCATGTAAATGTTTTGGTTTTCATGACATCACAAAAACAATTGTATCAAAGCAGGCTGTTTTTGCCTCCCAATTTCTATATATGGGACTGTATGGACTAGGGAGTGAATGGTGTGTTTTGATACTTTAACCCTGTTTCCACACTACATTAATCTTTAGTGATTTTAAATAATTAGTTTAGTTTCGTGAGTTAGGCCCTTCAATAAGCTCTTCCTAAATTGAAGTTGGGGTTGATAGAGCAGGAAAACATGTTCAAGGCAGGGGAACTGAGAGATTGAAAAACGCTGGCGTATGGTATTGAAGAAAAAACGTGTATTATATGACTTAATTGATTAATAGCACAGTCTATGTATTTGCAAAAGCATATGTTAGAATAAGTGATACATAAAATCTGTAACTCTTGAATTAAAATGGATATAATTAGTTGGGGCACAGCTGCCAGGCAACCTTATGTTCAAAAATATGCTTTGTTTCACCAGCAGATGGTGCCGTACACAACAGTTATTCTTGGGTATTGTTCTTGAACTTCACAAGATGAAAAACAATTCACAAAGGAACTTCTCAAAATTGTCGATAATTTGCTTAGAATAAATTATCTTGCATCCAATAGCCAATGAGAAAATTTGGTTTAAGGAAGTGCAAGTGGGTCTGTAATTGTAAAAAATGTTACAGGAAGTCGTTCTACGCTGTCCCCGAGCCCCACCTTCTCCAGCAGAGGGCACTCTGAGAGTTCCACTGACCTGGTGGTGGATGCCTCCTACTACAACTTTTACCAGCCCTCCCGCTACCCAGCCTACTACAGCAACCTCTACAATTATCAGCAGTATCAGGTGACTACCTATAAACACACTACTCAAATGGATCATGTCTTGTACTGTGTGGTGTTTTGTATGACTCCCTTAAACTGCAAGTTTATTATTTAGTTGTTCATCCAAAAATCAAACTCAAATATGAAGGACCTGAAGTTTGCTTCTTTAGTTAGCATTGGAGCAATGAGCCAACAAGTACAGGAAGCCTTATGCATACAGCATGCTTAAATTGTCACATGCTTGCCTCAAACTGTGTTAATTTGTTAAGTAATCTCAATTTGACTTGCTTGTTTAGTTTTGACCTACTGCTATATACAAAAGTCTACAAGAGTAGAGACAAAATTCAGGCTTAAGGGTGGTTGCTGCTGCTATTTTTAAATTTTTAAAATACTTTGCCCATGTTTGTAGAAAATGGTATGATCTGTTCTTTAGACATAATTTTCATCAGCTATCTATCTAGCTATCTGGTTAATATGAGACTAATATCTAAGTTATGTAGTTATTAGACTGAGATATGGGCCCTTGCCATTTTTCAGTAGTGTTGCAGCAACTTGGTGCACAGTTTGTTGCTAATACACTGGAAATTTCATATCGCAATATAGCAAATGTGGTTGTTTAAAACACCTCAACATTTAGCCTAATCATGAATAGATATAAACAGTCTGCTGTTGCAGAATGACATATAGCCAGGGTTGGAGTACAAGAATAACGTAGTACAAGAATTGGTAATACATATCAGAATGCAGATACTTTTTATATTTTAGGAGAATACTTTTAGAATACTTACTCACTAAATATTCTCCAAAAGAAACACAATTAGGCTAATGTTTGTTTATTAAGTATTTTAGAATCAGTGCACGGCATGTAGCAAACATGCTAGTCAGATGAATTCTAAAAAGGACCACAATTAACTTCATCTTTACACTGAAGTTACTTCTAAAGCTTGAGTAGACTGATAAATCAAGGTGATGAGACAGTTACTAATCTCAGTGTAATTGTAATCTTGTAAAGAATGATCTCAGTAGGGAACAAACATTTCCCATGTACCTTAGCAAGATATACTGTAAATGTATTCTAAATGTGTTCTGAATATGTTATGGAATACGTTATGTATTGTAACTGAAAACTTTGCTGAAAACTTATAAGAAAACGTATTCAGTATTCACCGATCACTACTTCTTTTATTTTGCAAACATAGCAACATATATGATAATTTATGTGCTTTTGGGGGTTGTAATTATTTGACAAGTCTTTAAATAGTTTATTATATTTTGTTAGTGAAGTACCAATCCGATACCCTAGATTGGTATTGGCACTGATACAAACCTTATTAAATGGGTTGGGTGTCGCCCAAATGTGACCAATGCACTATTGATACTGTTTCTCATACACAGTGGATCTAAAATGGAAGAGTGTCATTCCAAAATGTGACACACATCAAATTCTCACCTTGTGTTTTCATCAATGGAACGGAGTGCTCTGTGTATAGCTAATAATGATGAATGATCACATTACAGGCAAACCTGTTTGTTTAAGGACATGAAACAAGTGTTTCTTTGCAAAAGACATATGACACCACGTATCAGAATAAAAGCTCTGTGCAGGAGAGCTTTTCTGTTTCTAATTGTAGTTCACACAAGCTTCATCAGCATAGAACTATTTGAGACTTTCTGTCAATTTAATATAGGCTAAAAAATTTTATTCTCAGATTTTTAAGTGCTTTTCAGATAATAAGGTGATAGTTATGATGTCTACAGTGGTCTACTTCGTGATTCTAAAATAAATTCGAAGAATATGGTTAAAAAGAAATATTTGTGAAGTGATGTTTTGGATGGACTGGTGACCTGTCCAGGGTGTATCCTGCCTTCCACCCAATGACTGCAGGGATAGGCTCCAGCTCCCCCCGCGACCCAGAAGGATAAGTGGCTTAGAAGATGTGTGTGTGTGTGTGTGTGTGCATGTGTGATGTTTTGGAAATAAATCTTCAATTGTAACAGCTTATTACATGAGATATACACATTTAAATTGAAGAAGGTAAATATGGTATGCGTACAGGTATCAGAATCAGTATTGTAAGAGAAAAAGTCAGACTGTGCATCCTTATGCTTTATTATAGGTTTTATTATGGAAAGAGTGAACTGGAGTGTCTTATAGTCTACATGGATTTTTGAGTACTTAGTGCTAATATTCGAATGCTGACATCACTGTTCGGCTGTTTGTTACATTTCATCACAGGAAGACAGAAAATAGAAGCCAAACAATTCAGTGAAATGACAATTGTATGTTTCAACAGAACAGTAAAATATGGTGTGTTTGTTCATATTTGCGAATAAGTATGTTATAATAAACTTTGCTGTTCTGAAGCACGAGTGGCTTATTGCCATTGCCATGGACATGTTGTTAGGGACATGACTGAGAAGGCAGAGATAGCGTAGCTTAATCGTGAACATGTCTATATACGTTCCTGTACCTGATGTTAGCTTGGCCCAGAAACAGTAAAAACATATTTCTGTGACAAACTAATATGATGCTACATTGTCTACTGAGGAGATCATCTGAGGTTATGTTACTCATTCAACATGAAAACCTACAGATTTTGCTCAGCTATTTTTGAATAATAAAACATGTTTTTAGATGTATTCCTCGCTGCTGAAGTTTTTGTGCATGACCAGTGCTGTAACTTAAGGTAAAGATTAGCCTACAGGCGAAGTATGTTTCTTTCCTTGCCTGCGGTTAACTTCTTATCCCTTCATTTGAATATCAAAATTAATCGGTATGCACATCTCTAGTCTCTTAGACAGCAGGTCTCCCAAGAAGCATTGTTGCAGTGACTTTTTGCTTTAGTGTTCCAACCCCCCTCAAACAGGAAGTATTATTCCATATTAACCCAACACCCATGAAGAATACCACCATAGTACACCCATCTCCCCACTCGCCCACGCTGCGCCCCTTTTAGTGCAGTACTACGCAGTAATGAGATGATTAGCTGGGCTAGAGCCCGTGTTGATAGGGGCTCCTGTCAGTGGACCCGGCTTGCTGTTTTAAGTTGGCAGGCCATGGTGAGCTTCCCCCCGTTCCGAGCCAGTGGGCGAGCACAGCATGGAAGGTGTGCAGCCTTCATGCAGTGCTGCCCCTCTAACATGTTGTTTACATTTTCCTGCTCCCCCCAGCCGGAACTGCAACTAATACTGCCACTGGGAGTTCTCTAACCCTTATCCATGCTATTACCACAGCACCAAATTTGTCTCCCTTCATCTCTGAGCACTGACACTAAATTTGGTGGAAGTTAAATGCATTTTAGTGCATTTCGAGCTGGAGAAAGGTGGAGAAAAGTTTTTCTGGTCAGTGTTCACATAGATGTGTTATGTTCCAGGCAAAATTTAGTCAGTGATTTCTCTGGCCATGATTTACCAGACACCCAAAAATGGTGTTGTCATGTTTAAATAAGCCTAGATATCAGAAACTTTATGTTGTACTTGGGCAGATATGTAACATTTCTTGCTCTTCTGACACTGACAGTAAAGAATTTGCATCAACAAAAGGTATAGGTAGATTTGGAAATAGCAGCTAAAATAAACACCTTGGAGCTTGATGATTATAAGACTAAAACTCAAATACAAACCTAAATATGTTGTTTTCCACTGTTGAAAAATATATTTTTTTCAGAGGCAAGATTTCTCCACAACACCAACAATGTGATGCTGATAGCATCAAGATGCTTGTGTTGTCAAAAAAAAATCACTGTTTAGTTATTTTAACTGCAGTATTTTCAAAATTGTCTACCCCTTATCTATACATTTTAGGAGACAAATGCTCTCTCAAACTTTTTTTTTTTTAGAATTGTACTTGACTGCCTTTTTGTCATTTGTTTGTGGCTTTAACAGTTGTTTTACCATAATTAGTGCTAGTTGTGCCCACAAAGACAGTGATTACTTTGTATGTGATAATCTGCCTCACAGTTTAGTGCAGCAAACTAGCAAACCTTCTGTAGTGTGTAGTGTAGCATGTTGGACGTTGCTAAATTGGTACAATGGATGCTCTCATCTCAAATGCTATAAGGGTACTCATTTTGTCTGGAAGTATTATGTTATATGTATGTAGGCTACAAAATCTCTCTCTCTCTCTCTCCCTCTCCCTCTCTCTCTCTCTCTATACCCACCTACACATGCACACACACACACACACATATTTTTACATATTTATGTATGTATATGTGTGTGTACATATAAATCAATTTATATACACAGTTCTATGCAAAAGCCTTAGGCACCTAAAATTTTTTATAACCATTTATCTGCAGTAGGTGTTTTTCTGCTTGTAAAAAATCCATGTTGTTAGAAGAGATGAAAATAAACAACAAATAAAGTAAATGATAACAAGAATTTCTTTTTTTAAATAGTTGATGTCTTGTGAGCTAGTTTGGTTTGGTTCCAGATATCTCCTGTATGCCCCAATAGAGTCTGACTACAGACATGCACACTTAGACAGATGCACTCTCAGCCCCAGTGACGTCACATGCACACGCACTCTCTGCCACAATGGCAGAAGCAGCCGAACGGCACGTTAACTTTTGGCTGCTTCTGCTTAGCGATATCATCGCTTAATCCATTTTTCATCCATTGCACAGCTAGAGAATTCCATTTAATGTACGTCCTTGTTAAAAAATGTCATAGAACCTATTAAAACCCTACCAGGAACCCTTTTGGTTCCTTGTAGTGTTCAGTGGTTGCTAATGGTACTCTGTGTTTTCCTGATGGGTTTATATCACAGTGTAAAGGATTCACATCATTTAATCAGGTGTTTTGGGACTGATTCCAGATGCATTTGTTCATTTCCTATTGTACTGTAATGGCAACCATCAAGCCAATTCCCGTTAGGAAGCAAACCATCAGTTCTAATCGTCTTTAGCATAGCTTTCATGAGTTTTAGCAGTAGCCTGTTTGTTTTTTCTGCAAATAAATCTGACATTCATGTCTTATCATCGTGGTAGGTTTTATTTTGAAAGCTTGTATTACCTTATT